AGTCGAAGGAGGAACTGTGGTCAAATCCAAAATTACACGCCAGAATCGATACGCTAAAATCAAAGCAGACCCTATTTTATACGCCATTTAAGAATAAAAAGAACGACATCGATATAAAAAAAACTTTTGTTAGTTGAAAAAATGACAGGTGAAATAGGAGGAGTTGTTAAATGCACTGTCGCTGCAGCGTAAGGTAGAAATGTTGCTAAATTAGATGGTTTTTGAAAATCGTAAGACAAAACACACAAAAAATTAAGCTGACAACTGTGAAAGAATACCATATAATAGAAAAAGATGTATCGATATCTTCAGAATAGCTGAAACCATTGAAAGGTACATTGAAAGTTCATCAAATACTGTGGCAGAAAGAAAAGGACCACCTGATATTCAGAGAAAATAGTTACTTATATGCTTAGACGTGGACTGTGAACATACTAAATTTGTCGGTAAATAATGTTATGGAAACACAAAAGAATCTACACTTATCAGAAATAAAGAGAATGAAAATCATAGTATGACTGATGCGACTACAAAAGTAAAACCTAAAACTACACAGAATAAAAGGAATATTAAAATCTTAAGTAATGTTTTACAAAAGTCAAAACGCAAAGGAGTTAAAACCTGATGATGAATTACACTTGGACCCTAATATACACATTGAGAATGAGGTAAATATTTCTGGCAGTGGCAGTGCTATGAATTTTTTGGATGTATTTCAAGACTATGTTCAATATACGAGTACATTACAATTAAATAATTGATGGCCAGCTTAATGTTCTCGGATCATTGCTGTGTGATGATCTAGCAGATCCACAAGAGACTGCATTTGAGACTACCTGCGAAGTTCTTGGTTATGAAAGTAATACGGATTCGAATTCAATTTTAAATATTTTATAGTTATTGTAACTGATCTCATCGCATATAAGAAATATTTTAGATGAAACCGGTGTAGTGCTGAGTTCTATTGTAAAAGAGTTTTGAAGTAGTGTTTTAGTTGATTTTATTAAGATTACTAGAAAGATAATTACTGTTTATTTTGTTTTTATTTTCCTTAATTTTTAAAATTAAGTCTAGGTTGATGTTTACCAAAATTTGATAGAAACATCAAATGTTTTGTATTTTCCTGTTTATTATTGCCGTGGTTATCTTGTAGATCTACTTAAGACTTTATGATTAAGTACATGCTCGGTTTCTGGTTATGAAATAGAAACTAATTCGGATTTAAGTATAAATCTGTTTTTAAATTTTTGTATAAGATTTCATCGAATTTAAAAAATATCTTAGATGGAGCTTGTATAACTCTGAATTCTATTTACACTGAGTTCTAAACTAATGTTTTAGTTGGTTTTATTTAATTTACTAGACAAATTAATATTTACTGACTTAATTAAATAATTAAGAAAACCGGTGGACTTTCGACAATTTTTTTCAAATTAAGTGATGTAATAAATAAATGTGTGATTTCAGTACATCATTCATTTTATTTATAATTACCAAACACGTAGCATAATTACCATTTTTAAAATACTAATTACCGTTTGTTTCATATCTCATCACCGTTTGGTGAAAATTTTCAGCTTCAGATTCAGGCCTATATAGCAGTTCAAATACTGTGCGTTTGATTTATTTCGTTAATCTGCACTATAAACTTTAGGTGAAATCCATAAAAAAGGTAATTGGAAGCATTATTTGAACTTAACTAACGAACCCTGAATATGTCTATCTTCAAATATTCACCCTAGTAATAGTTTACGCTCACAGAACGGCTCAACTTTTCGTATCGAAATAATGCAAAGAATGAAAAATCATAGAACACTAACATAGGTACCCGATAATAAAATATGATCATATTTCATACGCTACCGTTTTAGATGTAACTCGAATCTACTCTTATTTAATTTGTAGGTACTAGGTACGACTAGGGTTACCAGATGAAAAAATCAAAAGTCCGGAGAAAAGGCCTGATTTCCATTGAAAAATCCTGAGATTTTTACAGTTTGAGAAATTTCTCTCCAACGTACTTAACAATTTAAAAAAGTCATAATATTATCGTTTTTATACACTATGGATGTCGCTCATTTTTTTATAGGAGAAGAGCAAACGAGCTCACTTGATGGTAAGTGACTACCGCCGCCCATGAACAACCACAACACCAGGGGAACCAGGGGAATCGCAGATGCGTTGCCGGCCTTTTAACAAGGAGTAGGCTCTTTTCTTGAAGGTCCTTACGTCGTATCGGTCCGCAAAAATCTCTGGTGGTAAACCATTCCACAAGGAAGTTGTGAGAGGAAGAAAACATCTTCTAAATCGCACAGTGGTGGACCGCCAAATATCCAGATGGTGTGGATTGTATCGGGAGTTCTGCCTCGATGTGCGTTCGTGAAATTTAGCGGCTGGGATTAATCCGAACAATTCCTCAGAGCACTCCCCGTGGTAAATGCGAAAGAAAATGTAAAGAGATGCAACATCTCATGAATCGAGCCGATTGGAAAGGACTCGGTCGTCGACGATTCGAGCCGCTCTGCGCCGGATGCAGTCAAGTGGAAGGAGCTGGCAGTGGGGAGCCCCTGCCCAGAGATGGGAACAGTATTCCATGTGAGGCCGAACCTGCGCCTTGTAAAGTTGCAGGCATTGAGCCGGCATGAAATACCGTCCCGCTCTGCTGAGCACGCCAAGCTTTTTAGAGGCCAATTTCGCCTTCTCTTCCAAGTGACCACGAAACTGCACGTCACTCGATATGTCGACGCCGAGGATTCTGATACTGGCTGAGGCAACAAGGTCAGTGCCTTGAAACTGAGGAGATACGACAAATGGGTTCTTTTTAGCGGTAAACGCGCAAACTTGTGTCTTCTGAGGATTAAACTGGACTAGATTTAGTCGCCCCCAATCCGAGACTTAATCATCATTAATCAATCTCAATTTAAAATGAAATACTCAATACCATATTTTAACCATTTTCAAGACATTAGGTATTTCACGATTACCAGAGATAAGGCGTATTTGTCAATATATATTTGCAATTACAGTCCAGAATACAAACGTAGAAAGAACTTTTATCTATTATTGGGGCTCAATGGTCGAATGAAAGAAACCGTCGAACGGTTCGAGCTATACTTTTATTTCAATATACCTAATTTGAAGAGTTTAACATGTGGGGCATTATATAAATCAATACTTAAAGAAAAAACCTTACTTAAAAAGGTATCTTCACATATTAAATATGATAAAACTGTTTAAGTACCTACTTGGATAAATAAGTTTTGATTTTAATTGTGCAATTATTAATTAAGAAGAAGAAGATTATTATAAGTTTAACTTTTTATTAGAGATTTTTAAAATGTAAGCTGTATTGTATTGAAAATTCTAAAAATCCTGAGATTTCATGAGATTTGCAAAATCCAGCCGCAATCCTGAGAGGAGTCCAAAAATCCTGAGATCTCAGGACAAATCCTGAGATATGGTAACCCTAGGTACGACAGTAACTAAAACAAAGTAAGAACTTTGTTTTAGTTATTCTGTCCCCTCCCCGGCAATACGATAGGTATGAAAAGAGCAGTTCATACGTTAAGACGTTACCGTTCGGTTGATGTATTAGGTTTTAGTTGATACGATTTTTTGAAACGATCTTATAGCCATACGAATCGATATGAGTGAAGATCGCATTCTCTTGAATCGATTTAAAAATGGGAAGATCGTAAGGTAGTGAATCGATCTTCCGGAAAATTGATTCGGATCGGGCATCTCTACCACATATCGTCAAAATTGGTTGAGTGGCTTTTCATTTCATAGCTTTTTCCTAAGTTCACCGTTTAACGGCTAAAAGCGACCAAATTTGTAAAGCCTACTAAGCTGTGATAGTTCACCTTTTTAACTTAACCAAACATCAAACTATCACAATTTTATCAAAATCATTTTGGCAGTTTAGACATGAAAGCTGTACAGATTTTCGCATTAAAATAGAAAAATAAGGATTTTCTTTCTGCAATACATTTTGGCAGCGGATTATATCTTATATTTTGTGAAGAAAAATTTAAAATTATATATAACACAATACCAGAGTAAAATAGCAGCTTAATACTAATATTTCGTATGGTGAGTGTAGAGAACAGGAGAACCTTTTTACTGGAAACGAGGCATTCCATCTTAGCTCTCAGAGGTGACAACGCCTCTGCATTTCGATTTTTGATGTATTGATGTGATATATATGTGGCGTAACAATAACCAAAAATACCCACACCTGGCTAAATCATTTCTCAAATATGGCAACACTGTATCCACTTCACTGCCTTGTGAGAGGATGTTCAGTAAGGCAAGGCTCATAATCTCAGATCGCCGCACTCGCTTAGATCATAAAAATGTGGACATGATAATGTTTTTAAATGTAAAACCAAGAAAGAAATTTAAGTAAACATAGTTTATTTAAAAGAAAATGTAAATAGTTAGCAGTATAATATTTAATGTACATAGAAAGAGAAATATTTACATAAAATTAACTTTTGAAGTACACCTGATTTGCTCAGTCAGTCCTAAGCCTGGAAAAAGTACGAGGGAAATTTCGATGATAACTGTTCTATGACTAGGTGTATTATTATATTGCCGTTACATGGAAAATAGACAGTTATGAATATAGATAGTTATCATAACGTTATCCGTTGTACCATAACGATAAAGTTATATTATTTATAAAACAACGACCCACCACTATTATGTAGAGAAATCTATTCAAGAACACCGACTTTAAACTTACAGATTATTGATGACGCGCAAAATAACCAAAACGGCTAAAGAATTCAAGAACTTAGTTAAGGCTCAAGATGTGCTAATAGGATCTGTCTATTTAGGCATTACTTCGACCATGCTGAAATAAGAGCAACAGTTTAAATTTTAGAAATATAGTTTAAATTTTAAAATGACATAGTGGTATATGAGTTCTACAACATCAAATTTTTAATAAACTGTAAAATCTGAATAGAGGAAAAAATATTTTACAATTTAGCATATTAGCCCACAGCTGCTAAAAGAAGCGTAGCGATGTCTTCGCGTGGACTTCTTGCCGTAAGCTGCATCGTAACAGCGCCCTGTGCTGCTAGCAATCGAGCTCTTATCAGAACAGGAGCACCCTCACGCCACAAGCCACACCCTCGAATCTCTTTTACAGCATCACCACTTATAGCTGATTTAGGTAAATTTAAATGTTCACATACAGCTATGGCTGCCTCTCCAACGCTGTTTTGTGACAAACCAAACGTGTCACATGATTCATGAGCTGAAGCAGCTCTCTCCCATGAGGCTTCCCAATCATCACCCACTGCACGGGTTCTAAACTGATCAGCGCAACCTATTTCAATTTCTTCTAAAGGATATGTATCAGCATAACCTTCTCCAGGATCAGGTAAACCAGTTGTTGGGTCGCAATCCCGAACTACGAACTCAAGTACTGCTCCAAAGCTACCCAATGTATCTAGTGGATTTTCGGGAAACTCCAAAATACAGAAGACACTTCCTTGCTTGTCATAAGGTAGTTGCTCACAAGCAACTTCCCCCAAAAATATATAACCAGGAACAGTATCTAAACGAATATGAACCTTTTCAAGTAGTTGGTCACTCAATGTATTCAGACATTCAAATTGTAGTACTAAATGACGTGCGAATATATGTTTAACACATCGCACACGGTATTCTGTTTCAGACTCTGTCAAATCAACTGCTTGGCAAGTTTTAAATGTTGGACCAAATTTCTCAATGCCTGGAATAATTTTCAGCTGATCAAAGTACTGTTCTTCAAGTGACGCAACAGACTGCTTCCTTGGTTCGATTTGGACAGATGCTTCCTCGGTTTCTTTAGTTTCTTCTGCAGTTGGAACAGAGTCAATATTGAACACGTCCTCGGGATTTGTATTAATATGATTCTGAAGAGATTTTTCTAAAAGCACCATATTAGGAATGGGAACATTAATAATGTAATCATTAATAAGTTCTTGGTCGTCAGAATCCAATATAGCACTGTAATAAATTGCTCGATCCCGTACTTCATTGTCATCATCTAATTGACAACGTGATAGTAATACTCTCATGTTTGGGAGAAGTTCAGGTCTAGCTGCACCGAAACGGGCTACTGCCGACACTGCGGCAGCTCTAACAGGGCCGGACTCCAGAATCACTCTGTTGTAAATATATCTGATGTATCTAGAAGGTTGACGCGCTTTAGGGCCTTCGCGACCTAATACATGCAATATACGAACTGCAAGCGATGTATGTTCACAATCTTCAATAAACTCACAGAGGTGGGCAAGGCCAGTTTCTTTGGCTTCCGGATTTTCTTCTACTAATGATATAATAGCGTCTGCAATAGCAGTTTTGTATTGCACACCACCTTCATCACGAAGCATGCCCGCTAAAAACGCAGCCAGGGATTGGTGTTTCCGTGGATATTTTGCACAGAGACGTCGTATAGCACTTACCACTACAATCTTGAACTCATCTGATATTTCAGACATAAAACCCGAAATTTGTTTCATTAATCGATCGATAGAGCTTTCAGCACCAGTCGCCAAAAGAGTTGTAACTGCTAAAGTAGCCACAGAACGATTAGGATCAGAAATCAAATTTTCAAGATCCACTGTGCAAGCTGATACTGCATTGGGATGCTTTGTTGTTAATTTTGCTAGAGTTCTAGCACCAGCAAGTCGCAAAGTAGCTTTAGAAGAACCACAAAATATCTGTAATACAGAAACAGCTTGAGCTAGATCTCTGGCAGATTTTCTAAGGTTAACTACGGCGTGTGCCGCTTCATAGACAACAATCTCAGACTTGTGGCGTAAGCACGACTCTATAAACTCGAGGTAAGGTTCGGAAGCTTCTGAGTTATCTTCTTCAGCTAATTTAGCAGCATGACGTACTAACAGACAAAGTGCATGCGGAGATCGAATCGGTGCTCGCGATAATTTCGTTACTAGTTTTACAGTAGACAGACGGTCATTGCGTCTGGCACCAGCGACGACCGCAAGCGCATGATATGAAACCATCATGTTGTCAGACATAATCGCCTCCTGTAAAAAAAAATTTATTATATATATTTATTTGCTTAAGTGTGGTATGTCAATTGGCATCAAAATTCACAAAACAAGAAAATTGTAGTGCAAAACACAGATTATTTTGTGTGTCTTGTTTTGATTGTTCTGTTCGAATGTACTAATACCGTCCCTATGTACCTCTGATCATATAATGTAGCATTGCACTGTGAAGTGTAAGCTTTTCTTAAAGACACATATTTAAAAAATTATCTAAAATAAAATAATAACTTTAACATGATTTTAACGAAAAATCTTATACAAAAAAAACATTGTGTTATATTTATTAATGTTATCTATATATATATATATATATATATATATATATATATATATATATATTTATTAATAATTATCAGTTTTTCTGAATTATTCAAGATTTTGTTTGTTTCAAGTGGTATGTGTATCATCACACTGATATTAAATGAGGTAAAGCCCTTGTGAGGGCCGCTAAGTACGAAGATATTTTGGATGCCCAACATTTTAAGTGCTTAGTTTAAGGCCAGGTTGACATCAGAGACGACAAAACTGAGTGAATAGCGCAAATATAACTGGTGATGTTTTCTATAGTACCAATGCGAGGATTCCGCATGTAGTGAAATTTTTATAGAAACTGTATTCACGACTGGCAGTTATCACTGACAGTTTATTTACTTGCCAAAAGCTAAGTATAGCCATTCAGTGAGAGCACACATCCAACATTCTTGACAATATACAAAGAGTAGTGATATATGATAGCTTTTAATTTTAAGGATTTTATTGATGTTAACAATATTAACAAAATGTTACGTAAATGACACCATAATATGTTATGTGAATTTATTAATAACTACATTGATGAATATGTAACGTGAAACTTGTGACCATAGGTTTATAAAAAAAATCATAAATGTTAAAAGTACCTATGTGACACTAAGATGTTTTTAAAGGTATAGATACGTCATACTCGCTCTAAAATGGCAATACGAAAGTAAGGTAATTGCCCGACTCGCATTCAGTCGGGCACGCACTCGCGTCGCGGCTATACCTTCGATACAGCATGTAAATCTTCTAGTTATTCGTGGCAAAAATGCCTCCCTGTGTTTTTAAATGGTGCACAAATTACACGGCAACTGTTAGAGACAAGAAAAACGTTGAATATAGATATTTTGTTCATAATTGGTTTTATTATTTCAACACTAACCGCTAGTGCAAACTTTGACACTAGCTAGTGTGTTCATTTTCCATATCGGTAGTCACGCGCTCGCGCCAATGAGCGCTCGGCAGCAATCAATAAGCAACTAATGATGTATATTCTACTTTTTCTAACAATAGGTATGCCCTATCATTTGTCTCTTTTCGTTAGCGCAACGTGTCATAATAAATAACTGTACATAGATATAGTACTACTTGCGCCACTTTAAAATACAATAATGTTAGTGTGTAACTGGTCTAACTTTTTAATATGTCTTTGATGAGACATAACATTTTATTTTCATTTTTAGGGTTGAAAAACTTTGTTCTTTTTATTTAAACTATCCTCTAAAAAGGGGATAAAATCCCTATATGGCATACATCTTAAGTCTGTGGAAGTTGTTGTATTAATGTGTTAATATTTATGTAATAACTAGCGATTCATTTCTGGATCTCGACAACAGTGTCACCTACCCGATCCAAATGTGAATCTAATCCACCTTGGGACCCACCCCATTCAAACACACATAAAACATTTCATCCAAATAGGTCCAGCTGTTTCCGAGTTTTAGCGAGACTAACGGACAGCAATTCATTTTTATATAATACAGAGATTAATAGGATTTCGACACCAGTGCCACCTACTGAGTCCAACTATAGCTATGAACCAGGGTTGGATTTAGAATCGTTTGGCAGGAATTCGAGGGAATGTGTTTTATTATATCAATACCACTCACATTAAAAAGTAAGTACAAAATTATAAACTTGTAAGATCACATTAAATAAAAATGAATAATTCAGAGGAACAGGTCGACAACAGCGCCATCTACCGGGTCCTATTGTGAAACTAAACCATCCAGAGACCCACTCAAACACACACAAAAATTTCATCAAAATCAGTCGAGCCATTTTCGCAAGCACCCTTTTGTGGATTTTCTTTTTTAATTTAAATGTATAATATACATTCGCATTGCTGCATTGCTGTGTGTTATTTGTTTTAAACATCTAGTTTTATAAAATAATACAATGTATATTTATGTAATTTATTTTAAACCATAATATGAACTACCTAAAAAAAATACCTTCAGGCTGCTCACAAAGCAAAGTAATGTAAAGTAGAATTAAATTTTTATCAAAAAGTAAAAATTGACTTAAAAAACTAAAGAAAACAAAATAATTAGGTATAAAGTGTTTGCAATTTTGGAAGTTTGCAGAACTTCTATTTTTTGTGTTTGTTTTTATTGTGTATATTATTTCTTGGTATAGTTCGTGTTTTGGAATACAAAATGGGTGAAGATTAATATTAATGCAAAATATAATATCACAGACAGTAATAGCAGCAAAGAAACATAAAACACCATTAAAATATTCTTGGAATAACTCTTGTTCTAGTGTGAAAGCTCAGTAACTACTTCCAAATAGCCTCACTATACTTAGAATTGCAAATGGCAAAATGTAAAATTGGTTGATTTTCAAATTAATATCAATTTATTTATTCTAAGAATAAAATTTTACTTTTGTTTTGTCAAATCCATTCTAAGCAGTATAATTTTTTTCAAATGCCAGATAGTAGACGATTCTACCTGTAGATAAAAGTAACTGCATTTTTAGACCATCTTAACTCCATAAATTCTAAAATTCAGTTTACAATGGAGTTAGAGGCAAACAATTCTTTAGCTTTTCTAAATGTGTTAGTAATTTGGAATCCTGATTACACCTTGAGCCACACTGTATAGAAAAAAGACCCATACAGATAGATATTTAAATGGTGATTCTCATCACCACCCTTCACAGTTAGCTACTGTGGTTAAATCTTTGTTTCAGAGAGCGAGAGTAATCTGTGACAGTAAACACCTGGCCGCCGAGCTCCAACATGTGAACCAAGGTTTGCACAACAATAAGCTTCGGATCCCGTGCCTACGTAACAGTGAACGAGTGAAGCTGGCCACAGTCGAGCGAGTGCTTGCTGTACCACCGAAGAAGATTAGTCAGTTTTTGTACCATCAGTCAAGTGTTATGTCCCTATGTAAGATGCAGGAGTGTACAAGCTTGATTGTGAATGTGGTCTCTCTTATATAGGACAAACGAATAGATCTATAAAAACCCATTGAAGAACACATAGCTGATGTGAAGAATCGACACTCAGAGAAGTCTACAGTCTGTGAACACTTACAGGATCGCCACCATCACTACATTAGATTTGATAGACCACAAACCTTCGCTAGAGAACACTAATTCCTTCCAAGGATAATTGGTGAGGCTATTGAAATCAAAAAATATCCTCATTTCAATAGAGAAGATGGCTGGGTACTAGCATCTGCTTGGGATCCCTTAACTAATAAAATTAAATCCCAACCCTGGCATACAACTGCAAGACTTCAAGATACTGTCAGTTCATACTGCGTAGATTGTAACAAAAATTAATAATTTTTAATCTGGAGGTAGCTATGATTAACTATGATATTGGGACGTCATACACTTTAGTCCCCCCCCGTGACAAATGGTGCTGTAAAGTGCTTGAAACATTGAGAATATAAATCACTTCATTTTAAATCGGTCTGGTGAGCCAGCAAAGCAAACAAAACAAAGATCTCACTATCCCATTTGTGTTAGGTGACTGTAAACCTTTTAGACAGAAATAGGAGTCTCGCACAGTGGGGCAGCGTCGAGAACACCTTATTACAATATTTAAATTTACTATGATATGGACTTAAATTTTTTTTTCATTTGCCCTTAACCTTTTGCATAATCCTCAAAAATGTCCTAATCTTCAGAGCTTGTGATAAGAAGGTATTCCAAAATTTTAGCATATTTTAAATTGATCTAGACTACTTGACTTTCAGTGTTTCACCTTGACTTCTGAGTTGTTGACCTTGTCTCATTATTGCTTAAAAATAAGTTTAGGCCTATCACACGATTTTTCCCACCCTTACTACTCCCACTGTCCTAACAACCACGAAAGAAACTTGGCAATTTTTTTCTCGACACATGGTTTGCTCAATTTGCTGATTACAAAATTACAATTAAAAGGGTTTATTTTAGCAAAAAATAAATTGCTGCTATAAATGCGGCGGAAACTATTGCAAAGCGCTTCTGATACAAGATGTGAATGGGAGAAAAAAGTAATAATACCTGAGCTTCGTTCACCCATCGACGAACCAAATCCGGGACAGTTGCAGACAAATGCAGAGCAGACACAAGTGCAGCAGAACTCACAGCAGGATTTTTGTCAACAATTGCCTGCTTCATATAACGTTCAATAGCTTGCAGCATGGTGCTGTCAGTTATGCTACAAAGAGCTCTAATTGCAGCAGCTCGGTAAAGGTCTTCTTTACCAGTCATATCTTTAGTCAGTGATGAAGTTACAATAATTACATCCTGTGCCAAGGAACTAAGTTCTTTAATACTTAGATAGACCAAGCGGCGCAACATTACATCTTTTGATTGAAACAGTTTTGTAGTCGCGAAAAAGATATCAGTAGCTTCTTGGGTAGTAAGTTTCTCTCCTTGATTTAGCAAGTAGATAATTTTGGTCAATATGTGAATGCATTTCTTGGGATTCACAGGCGTGGAATTGAAGTACCTAGCTTCTTGTAATAGAGTTGTTTTATCCAGATTTTGAAACATATTGGCACCTCCATCTTCTTCCTCTTTTTTGTCTCGTCGAAAAGAACTCATTATAGGGTACTATTGCAATTTAAAAATGTATTTCTTAAATTTTTAAAATTGTTTGCTTAATTATTGACGTAGCCGCAATTACGAATCACGCGTCATCAATTTATTAGGCATGTCATTGTATTGTCGATCTGAAATCGATTAATCGAAATATCGATTACTTAGGGTAAAATAACCGACTTTTCAGATCGATGAGGGACACTACATCGATTCTATGAATCGATCCAAAAACCTCGCGTATCGGACTGATTTAAGAACTAGCGATTAAATTCCTAAACTGGCTGAATTATATTGATTTTTTTGCTGTAGTCGGAAGCAAAAACAACTGGTCATTTTTGGTGGATAATTTACATACATATATATTATAATCACGCCTCTTTCCCGTAATGGTAGGCAGAGACCACTTCTTTCCACTTGCTACGATCCTTACATACTTGTTTCGCTTCGTCCACTTGATCGTGGATAATTTGAACACATAAAATAAACGTCGTCGTTTTAAAACGTCGTTCCTTACATTACTTGCTAATAAAAAATAGTTGTTAATGTTATTTCTAATATAACCTATGGATCCCAGAGTCTTAACTTATCTGTAAAGTGAATTTACTTTATTTATCAAAGGAGTTTTGGCGGAAATTTAACCGGTTGATTGCTGGTCCTGTATTATTGTTTAAATAATGGTTTAAAGTGGATTTTGATATGTTAAAGAGGTGCAAATTTTGCATATTAAACGTCTGTGCATGTAAACTATTAGTGATAACGGTGCAACAAATACTTTCCTGGTGATGTGCATTTTAAAATAAGTTGTCTGCCTGCGTAGGCACCTTGAGATACTATTGCCAACTGTCTGCTTGTTCAAGTAGTCGTCAAAATCTCCCAAAAATTACGCAATGTGGCTTTTTAATATATTGTGAAGCAGTGTCCTATCATTATCACTTGATACTGAGATAAATGAAGACATAACTTAAAGAACAAGCATCCAAGCCAAAAATCGAAATAAAAATAATGTTAATTTAAAATAATTACTTTGAGTAAAGGAAGTTTATAGTAACGAAATAAACATTACCTAATGTGTTCGTGTAGCATTCATTTCAATTTCTCAAGTAGTGAGTGACTAGATGGAAACCGATTTATAGAGAAATGTACGTTGCAGTTTGCACTGTTAAAATCCCCAGTAGTAGCAGAGTCTGAGTTTGATCCCGGTGTATGGCAAAAGGCTCAACCCCTATTTAAAGGGGACGTGTAACATAACTGAGTACAGGTGGGAGTACTACACACCTCTGCCTACTCCTTTGAGTAAATACCGGCGAGATGTTATATTTATTAATTTAATGATATTTCTATCCCATTAGTTGTATTTAGTAAATAATGTTCTGTGTCTATATTAGGCATGTTGGAATATGTGGCGATTAATTGAAAATAGATCTTTTAATACTAGAATTAATCGAAAATCGATTATTTTTTAGTGAATCGACATGTCCACAAACAAATAAGAAGTGGACATGCCTATCTTAAACCATAAATTTGTTGTTTATTGCTACGATCCACCAATAAGGCAGGCAAAGGTAAAGACCATACAACCTAACTAAAAGATATTATCTCTTCTATATCTGTTATTTTGCTGCGCGCGTAGTTTTTACGTAATAGAGCCATGCTGCAGCTATATTAGTGGTAGGTATAGTTGTAGCATGAATGTGTCGGCTCGACCGGAAAAGGACCGTGTTTCGTATGGTGAGTGTAGAGAACCGGAGACTCTTTTTACTGGAAACTAGGCATTACATCTAAGTCTAAGTCTTTTCTCGATCACGAATCAAAATGCAGATGCGTTGTCACCCGTGAGGGGTGACAACGCATCTGCATTTTGATTCGTAATCGAGAAAAGATGTAGATGTCTATGGGCCGCAGCAAACACCATCAGGTAAACTGTGTGCTCTTTTGTCACCCTTATCCTATAAAAAAAAAGTACTAGACTCGTAAAGCAGCTCCTCTCAGAACCACGTCATGCTTCATGCGGACAATATAATAGCTCTTTTCAGAGCTACCTGTTTGTGTTTCAGGTGATGTCGAGTGTAACTAGACTCTCTATGATCCTTTCCATTCTGCAATATTTTATTATATTTTACTACTAGACCGCGGAAATGCACATCATTCAATAATCATAATATAAATATAGTAGGTTAAGTAAGCAAATAAATAGAATAAGTTTTATATTTAATATGATTAAAAAAAATACATTGTAAAAGTAGGCAAGAATTTAAACTATTTGTGTGCCTTTTGTCTTTCGTGGACTTACTGGCTGTGATATAAAGATTTTAAATAGCTCAATCTCTTTTCTCTACCTCTAATTTACTTATGGTCCCCTGCCAAGGCTGTCAAAGGAAACTTCTGTTAGCCATATCTTCTATCTCTGTACGGGGAAGACCACTTACTGGCCCATGCCGCTAAAGGAGACAGCTGATCTTTCAGGCTCTCTTTTTGCATCCAGCTCGACTTTCGATGACGGGGGAAAAGATCGCCAAACATCCCACGATGTGATTGCTCCATGCCGGATGTGCGATTTACACAGCGCTCGGTAAGAAAAGCACTTTTCTTACTCGACGTCAACAAGTGGAGTGCACCTGATGGAGTTTCTACTATTGCGTTGAAGACATGTCCTTCGGAGTTGGCACCGGAACAAAAGTCTTTCCGGTACTCCTAGTACCTAGCCGTTGTCTCAAACTCATGGAAAACAGATTTAGTGGACCCGATCCTTAAAATATGCGTCGCGCAGACCCGTCCAACTACAGGCTATCACAATCAGCTCCTTAGATTGCCAGCTCATGATGTACTTTGAGGAACACCAGTCGACTAGTGACCGTCAGTACGGTTTCCGTCGGGTTCGCACAACTGGTGATATCCTCATTTAACTATTCGAGTGGAGATAGTATAGACCAAGGGGTACGTCGTTCGCGTTGGCGCAAAGCGCTATTTTTGAAGTTTCCTCCCTATGAGATTCCGTAGAAATTGTGCAAGTGGATCGCTTGCTTTCTTTCAGATCGGAGCATCGACGTTGTAGGAGACTTTTCGTGTTCCAACTACAAGCCTATTAATGCTGGCGTTCCACAAGGTGAGTGCTATCAACTACACTGTTTGTTCTGTATACCAATTATACAATATGTAACAAAAACCCTGTGGTTCTCGTTAAGTACGTTATCAGGATCATTATTCATCATCATCATTACAGCCTTTCACAAGTCCACTGCTGAACATAGGCCTCCCCCAAGGAATTCCACGAAGCACGGTCCTAAGCTTTTTACTGGGTGAACCGATTTCGATGATTCTTTTTTTTTATTTGAAAACTGGTGCTTCACATGTGGTCCCAAATAATTTGATAAAGGTCTGACCAATAGTTTTTGAGTAATTCTTAATAATTGATATTGAAGTCAATTGTACAAAATTTTTAATTTTAAATTATTACGTAGGCATCCACTAACAAAGAGTTATGGAAAATGTTAACCCTTAGAGGATGAAATATGGTGTTCCAGGTTTTAAGAAATATTTTTACGGTGGGATTTCAAATTAGTATGGAGAAAAATTGTTAAATTATTTTTGTAACTTGAAAATTAGTACTCATACTTTTGGATTAATGACTTAAATATTTTTTTCTTTTACGAAATCTTAACTTAAAGTGATAAGACGAGAGTGCAGTTTGCGCGAAAAAAATGTTTTTTAATGGCATGATGATGGTCAAGTTCGTAAAACGAAATCATGATATTTATGAGTAATACATATCTTAGAACTACAAAAATCTGCGCCTATTTACTCCTTATGTGGTGGAAAATTGTTATACAAAACAGTCTATTTATTATTGTGTATAGGTTAGTGTTATTACATTTTGCAACTAGATGGCGTAAGCGCTGAATCAAAAGGTATAGCGACTTGAAAACCATAGATTATATTACAAGGTTTTAAATATAATATTTTTAGTTATTTTTTTGATTGTATTAACTATATTTATATTTTAAGTATTTCTGCTTTTGAGTATTTAAGTGTTAGGTAAGCGTTTTGAGTACTTAATAGGTACTTTAATAAAAAAATTTATATTCTTACTATTTCCAACATAGTGTAAGCAGTATAATGATTGTCACTTTAAGCGAATTTCTACTTGTAAGTGGTTAATTCTCGTAAATAAACAAATTTGTTATATTTTTTATTGTTTTGTTGGATTTTAGTTTAGATAGCCATAAATAAAATTACGCATTACGTTTAATAATAAATGTTTAATTAAGTTAAAATCTAATTAAACTTTTTTTTAGGGAATGTTACAATCATTGGCACTTTAGCATAGTGAATGGCACTGTACATTAAGTATAATCATTGGCACTATTGGAAGTCTTAAAAAGTTATACCGAGATCTTTCGCTCAATCTTATTGTTATAAGATTTATTTTGAAGAAATCTTCTTCAAAAAATTTCCTTAGATCTTCATCTGAAAGCGGTTTCGTTGGTCTACCATGTTTTTTTCTTTCTTCGTATACATTTTTCATGTGACTTTTTTTAGTAAAATCTTTATTTATTTTTTCTAAAAAAATCTCTGTGTTTTCTCGATATTTTGTAGAAATCGAACTTTATTTCGGTTTTTTAGATTAAACATTTAGAGAGTATTATAATGTCAGAGTTTTTGGCTTCGTTCATCTTGTTTTGTTTGTCAGTTTGTTTCTATATTTGGTTGACTAATTCAATTCTGAATTTTCCATTTGTGCCCAATTTTTCCATATTTTTTTAGCTCCGCAGCTTCCGAATCTTCACTTGTTAGCACAAAATAACGGCGTTGTTTACCTGCTTTTTGCTACATATTTGACAATGGAAAAAACTCTATAAACATTTTTAGGGCTTTCTAAAAGATTTTTGTTTGTTTCGACATCCACGATCACCCATTCACCTCCAACAAATTCTAAATTTGCTGCCTAGTTGATGAAAATCATAAGGGTTAGTTTTCTTTCTGATACTCAAAAATAATCTCTGCAG